ATAAAATTGTGTGATTTTTGACTGTATGTGATCATAACCATAAATTTGTGTACTAATATGACACAAAATGTGACCACCTAATTTTTTAATATTATATTTTGAAATCTTTGTAGTTATGTATTTGAGTATTTTCCATTTTCCATCTACCTTGTAGTTTAGGTTTCAAATCACTATTTTCTTTCTTTCTCCTCTTCTACTAATTTATTCCCTTTTCATTTTTTGCGTGTATTAAGGGTTTTGTTGTTGCTTGAATTTTTTTAATCGTTTTCTGATTTTCTTTGGTTAAAAAATTATATTTTGTTGACAATGTATTATTAATCTTTCTCCTTTATTGGTCAGATGTCTCAATCAAATTACTGAACGATTATTGGCCAATCCATGTTAAAACCTAGAATTTAGCTACTTTGCCAGAAAATGTTAATATCCTAATTGACAAATGTGTTGGTGGTAGGAAACTATTTGATATAAAAGTTGACTATTTTAAAACGATTTAATGACATAAGCATGACATTCTGTCAAAGAAGAGATCAAACTCTTCTGACAATGTAGCATTGTTGTAAAACCTAACATGTCTAGAGTTAATTTCAATTTTGGTCACTAAACTTTCATGAAAATCTCAATTTGTTCACTCATCTTTAATTTGTCAATTTCACTAAATTAATGTCCGACCGACTCGAAACATAAAGGATCGCTGACTATTCAAAATATAAAATACAATGCACAAGTGAGGGAATTAAAAAAATATAGTTTTTATGTCTAAATCTTCATGCTACTTCCTTGTTTATCAGCTCAGGTATGTGATTGGGAGTGAATATTCACAAATTTCATTTATCTGTCATTCTCTGACAACAAAACTCCTTATTTATCAAAAGATTTGATACAGTACAAATTGAAGAAGAGTTCATACAAAAATGGGATCGGGATCGAAAATAGTGTTCATTTTCGAAAATTTTTGTATCTATTTTGAATAAAAAGGTCAAGTGAGCAAAACTCATCGGCTTTGCCCATGATGTACGGCCCATTTCGACCCAATTACACCGTTTAGAGTTCCGGAAATGCATTTTTCATTATGCTTGATAATTTCCTTAATTTTATTTAGATTAATATTTTAATTCCATTTAGAATCATTATCTTTCTTTCATATCATTATCTAGAAATTTAGTTATTATCAAAATTTTATTTATTACTTTAAATACGAGTTATAAACTTTATGACAATTAGTTGATTTGATAATAATAAAATTCGTAAGAAGTTTCTCTCATATATTGTCTCTTTCCTAGCATTTGTTGGAATAAACAGTCTCACATAACACCAAAAATATAATAGAAATTAAAGAACACCAAGGCTTTTCGCCCGTAAGCCTGGATGTTCATCCCAGAAAAGGCTAATCACCATGTTAAGCATCCACCAAAGTGATTATCGCTCTAATCCACTAGAAACCAACAAAGATTATCAGCACAAGAGTCGCAATCCAAAAATCCAAACGGATTTAGTCCTTAGACCAAGTTTTCTTCTCTCAAGAAATCTCAACCCGATTACACCAAGTAACCAAAGGTTACTGCTCAACCAAGAACAGATTCACCATAATTACAAAGTAATCTACACTAGGCTTCACCAAGAATATCTAGAACCAACATATTAAAGACGAAATTCAAGAATTTTCAAAGAGAGAACAAAACATAAGAGAAAACCCTAGACGACGATATCTCGAACCTTCAATAAATGAAGAGTCGGGCCAAATAATACAAAAGGTCAAAAGCATCCAACGGTTGCATCACTTCCAAATGGCATCATCACAACCTTTAAAATTAATAACCAAAGTCGCATTTCAGCAAAAGGCGAGAATGTACAAAATGGAAAGAGGCAGCCGGGTTACATTCCCTCAATTTGGGCTCGACTCAGTATTAATTGGGCTGCATCATTGGGCAATCTAATTGGGTTTAGGGCTGTAAATGGATCGGATCTGCCTATATCCAATCCGATAAGAAAATTTATCCGATCCGATCCGATAATTCAACAGATATTTAATTGCTAAATCCATATCCAATTTACAATGTTATCGGATATCCGATCCGATAATCCGATCCGAAATTAATAAAAATTAGGGAAATTTTTTTAACTACCTTGAGGTCCACCTATTTTTCCTAACAAATCCAATAGTGACTTCTACCATCATGATATTCCTTTTTAAAGGAGAGACCCTCTTCTAGTTTTCTATTGACATTCGATATGGGATAAGATAAAATTGAATTTCAATTCTAAATATAAATATTTTATTTCATTATTTCCATTAACAAATCAAATTATTTGTTACATATTAATTATTAGTTTTTGAAATTGTAAAGTTAATTACAATAATAATTTTAATTAAGAAAAATATAGATATTTATTTACTTTAAATTAGTAAACTAAAATTAGAAAAACATTGGTTGAAATCAATTTTTTTTTTTTAATTTTCTAATTCTTAAACAAGTTTAATAATTATAAAATTTTAAAATTTTTTATGTTTTGAATTTGATTATTTTTTATTCTAAATTTATTTATTTTCTCATTTATTTATTTTAGTGACAAATAATATGCCATAAAAATATTTTATCGACTCAATTATTTATAACAAATCGGATAGGATTGTTATCTGATCGGATTGACTTATATCCATATTTGATCCATTTAATTAACTGATTATCGGATTCGGATCTTGATCGAGTTATCGGACTGAGACCTTAAGTCCATCTCCCATTAATTTCGTCGGATTCGGATCAAAATCCAATCCATTGACAACCCTAATTGGGTTACATCATTGGGCCCAAAGTGTTAAATATAAGGGAAGAATACATAAATAAGGTACTTACTTTTACCCATTTCAAAAATACCAAAACATGTTTCAAAATTCAAAAATCAAGTTTCTTTAAATTTTTAATTATAAAATAATAATTATTAAATTAATTTATTATTAATATTTAATTCTACTATAAAATAATTAACCCACCTTCACCTCCACCACCCCTACAACTCCG